TTCCGTTGTTTTTCTTTCGTTCTTTTTTCGTCGCACGTGTATACACGTGCGATTGATTGCCTTTTGTTCCGCACAAAACTTAAAAGTGAATTCTGTATTGCTATGGAAATAGTGTTGTGCTTTTTTTTGCAAAGCCTAGGTTTTGTATAAAAAGAAAAGAGGGAGTTGGCCATTGTAACGGTAGTACAAAATGAACCATTTTCTTATTGCAATGTGTGTGAACCTGAATGCGTTTTACAGATCTATTTTGGGTGACTAACAGCCTGGGAGGGGTCTCTGGTTTAGTTCCAATAAGTGAGCACTATTTTGTGCATTTGCTGAACTGGATGGCTTGTAGTTTACAGGTCGGAGATGAATATTCACTAGCAATATTTAAGAAATATATAGAACATATGAAAATTGTACTGGCTATATGCATTATAATGCAAGTGAGAAACATATTTTTAGTACACTTTGGAACACACTTCAAGTGTTTTCTTGAGACATATTAGGATGCATTTGTGCAAGATTAAAATATATTTTTGCAATACTTTTAGGGCGTCCGGGTCACAGGTTTTAAACAAAGTTCAAAAGATGCGTTTAAAATGCGATCAGAAAAATACGAAAAAATAGTTGTTTTAAATACATTAAAGGTATATTTTAAATATAGACATTTTTCTAAGGGAGTGGTAACAGTGCCTTTAATGTTTTGGGAAGTGCGCATTTGTACGTTCTATTTCTTAACCGGCACGGCCTACTCCCAGAGAGGACTCGCCAGTTCCATTCGCTGCAACTCCTCGTTCCCTCAGTCGAGTATCGGGAACAGTACTGACTAAGGCCTGAAAAAGTTCGCTTTCGCGTAATTACCCTTCAGAACAATCTTGGCAGCAAAGCCCCTAAAAGCTTCTGGGATTTTATTGAAAACGCTGGAACACTGGAAAACTAGGTCCTGGACTGATGCCTCCGCGTTGACCTCTTCCTCATTTTGATAGTTTGATAGCTAGGCCTTTCATCCAGCCACGCCCTAGCAACCACGGGCAGGGTCGGAGAGCTACGTAGAGGACGTCGTAACACTCAGGATTTGCCAGTGCCATAGTTGCAGCAAGGCTTCAATGTACCGAAGAGAACTCACACGAGTAGTGTAGCTTTTTATCATCGTATACATGGTGGGAACAAAGCAGCTGAGTAGAACGGCTCACAGTTTTTCTTCCTTTACTTTGATAGCACGGAAGTATCGCTCTACGCGCTCCCGGTCTGCTTCGGAGTCGAACGGTTCCAAGCTTCTTACTTTTGTCTTTTTCTGTCAGGATCGAATGGCAGCAGCTCTACTTTTCTGTATCGTCACCACTGTAATTTCTCTTTGTGCTCTCCGCGAGCGATCTACAGTTTTACAGGCACAAGCTGATGCCAGTGCTACTCTGTTTGATATTTAACGATAAGCACTCTATATTTAGATGCGCTTGTTGCGCTATCTTTGAGACGCATTGGGCGAGTGGTGCCGTCTATGACACTCTCATAAACTCTAAAACGCGCCGCCAAAGTAAGGCGAAAGATCGCTTGTAAAAACGTTAGTGACACGAAGGCACCAAATACCCACACACATTGCGCCAGCGCTTTTTTCTAAGCGCCTTTTGTCTTTCTGCTCTTTGTGCCGGGTTTAAGTATTATCTCTTTGCAATTTTATTTTGTTGGCTCACTATGATAAAATCAAGGTAATAATCATGTGTGCTAAATAACCGCTCGCTGCTGATTTTATTCAAGCAACCGCCGAAACTGAAAGCCGACATGAAGCAGTTTCACTAGTTGGAGCTCCCCAGCGGTGTTGCCTGCTCTGTGGGCGATTGTTCGACTAATATTAAGTTTTGGGGGCAGTGTAAGAAATGAAAGGGGCGGTTCAATTTTTTTTGTGTGTTATAAATCTCGTGCATGATTCAAATCGCATAAGTAATATGTATGTTACACGAGATCTCCCAACTGTCACCGAGTCAACGATAGTTCACTCAATCGCGATCGGCCGGAGTAGACGGAAGGCGCCAACTGTCATTAGGCCGCTAGTGATTGTGGAACTCAACTGAGCCAGCAAAACCTCATATCATTCGAGTAACTTCGTAAGAATAAGTTTACTTCCACTTGAAATTGAGCACAACTCAGGCGCCCTAGGTGACTGGTGGAAGCTAAACAAATTCATGCAGTTTGGAATTCGATCCATGGGGCCTACCCCATCTACCGGAGCGCTGCACCAAATGAACTAAACATTGGTGGCAAATTTAAACATCCGTCTGCTCTGTTGACTACTAGCTCTTAGTTGGTTCAGTTGGTATACGCTCATCTATACCTGGAGAGGTCCTGGGTTCGGATGAAGAACAAGTCGGATTGTTTCAGCATCCACCAGTCGCCTAGAATGTGCGAGCTCCGCTCCATTTTATGCGGTAGTTTAATTCTCCTTATACGTATCTTCTCGACTATTGGGACTTCCCCTAAAAATGATATCAATGACCTGACTACTATCTCACTACTGAGCATTCTCAATATAAATTTAGAGTTTTGCGCCTTCCACATTGTCGTCTGTCTTTGAGGCAGAATGTCTTCAGGCACGAGGTTCGTCTTTTATTTTTTTTCTAGCCCTTAAAAACGTTTGTGACATCTAAACACGAGCCATGAATTAAATATATTTTTCATATGGCTTCCGTAAATTTTTATAAGTACTAGCTCTTCCGCCAACTTTCGCACGACATTTGATGGCACAACGTTGCTCAAATTTTGCCGATTTATTTGCATAACACCCTAAAAACATACATAACTTTAGTAAAACACTATGAGCGACGGCGCAGCAACTGTAGCGGATTAAAAATTAGACAGCGTTTACCGGAGATGCCTACTTAACTGCCAGGTTATGGGTGAGAGAGCAGCGTCGTCGGGGGGGGGGGGGGGGGGGGGTTCAAGCAGTATGTTGTTAGTCTTATCAATTTTATGCCTTAACTCGTATTTGTAAAACGGGACATTTATCGTTCATTTCGTTAATCATATTACCTCAGCGTTTTCGAAGACGTCGCTGCTCTCTACGTGCCTTTATACTTACACCCTCTCTTTCTTCCGAGTCTTTTCAAAATATTCATTTGGGAACTTGGAAACGTCGCAGGTAATCAAATGGAGCTGAACACAGAAGTTCCCTCTGTTTGGACCCACGGAATTGCGAAGTTCTTTATTCGCGGCAGTTGGAACCTTTTCCTGCGAAGTTCCCCTTTGATTCACTGCTGGAGCCGCACGTCAACCATGTGGCAGTAGACGCAATGAGTTGACAGGGCGGAGCCCTGTCACCTCATTGCGTATAGGTTAACTGTCATCTCATTGCGTATAGGTCGACTGTCATCTCATTGCGTATAGGTCAACTGTCATCTCATTGCGTATAGGTCAACTGTCATCTCATTGCGTATAGGTCAACTTTAGTCAACGTTTCTTTGAAGGCACCAATCAACAATGATCGGGCCCTCATATCGTAATAACCATCAACTTGCTTGCTCTCTTCGTACTCCACTCGCGGCGCCGGCAAAGGAACCTAATATTTGGCGCAAATGCAGAATGTACATTACCCACAACCGAAAACGACTGCTTAATCGGTAATATTTATCCGCATGCCTTCACTGCTTTGCTATCAAAAAAAAAAAAATCCATACTGCCATGCCACGGTGTGTTGGCACACCGAAGCACAGAACCCCACACTCGCCTCAGAAAAGATTAAAAAAAATTAGTTTATTTGCCTTGTTCTGCGAATGAACTGCGGCGAAAGCCGAGGCGCTGGACGTTCTGCTGCACAACCTTCTCCACACAGAATACATACAATCGCACTGCACACTGCCATCTTACTGTTAAAATTTAGCGGATAAACCCGCTAAATCCAGTGTCGCGGGGGTGAAATTCACGAAGCATTTAGTGGAGAACTTTTAGAGCGCAGCTCTTAGGCGCCCGTTTCCGGCTGGAGTGGCGTCGACGTCCGTGTCGGCGTTGGCGTAACAGCGTGTTGCATTATGGGGCGTTTTCTACAATGACGTCATGGGGTCACGAGGGACGTCACTCGACGCCACCGCGCTTTGCATTATGGGTAAATTTCCCCGCTAACTTTAGTGGAAATATTTTCCCGCTAGATTTAGCGGAAAACATTCCCCGCTAAATTTAGCGGAAAACATTCCCCGCTAAATTTAGCGGAAAAATTTCCACGTTAAATTTAGCAGACAAAATGCCACGCTACATTTAGCGGAAAACATTCCTCGCTAAATTTAGCGGAAAACATTCCCCGCTAAATTTGACGGAAAACTTTCCCCGCTAAATTTAGTGGGTAAATTTCCGCGCTAAATTTAGCAGACGAAATTCCCCGCTAAATGTAACGGAAAAAACACTCAGCTAAAAGTAGCGCCAAATTTCCCTGCTAAATTTAGCGGCAAGAAAATCCCCCCTAAATTCAGTGAGAAAAATTCCCCCTAAATTTAGCGAGAAAACTTCCCCGTTAACTTTAGCGGAGAAAAATTCCCCGCTAAATTTAGCAGAGAAAATTTCCGGCTAAATCTAGCGAAACAAATTCTCCGCTCAATTTAGCGAAAAACTTTTTCCGCTAAATTTAGCCGGTAATTCTTCCTGCTAAATTTAGTGTCTTTCATTTTTTTTACCTATAATCACGGTGTTAAGTAACGTCACGTAGAATCAGGACCTCACAATGTCACGTAACTCGACGTGACACTATTCTTCCACGTGACAGTGGAACGTCATATATCAGGACGTTCAGACACGGTACACACCCGTGGGGGCGCTGCGAAGCCCCGCCAATAAAGACTGTCACCGTAAAGCGTACTGTTTGCGTCTTCCGAACTCACATGAAAAGGAAGATATCACCTTTATATCCAAATGTAGACGTCTTTCTCAAATTTTCTTGAAATTCATTCAGAGTTCAAAATATTATTTTCGGATGGCCAAACTGCAGGTCGTCCGCGAAAATTGACCCACAGAAAGTAGGAGACATAAGCACTCACCGTGAAGGCTCCCCAGGCGAAGGAAATGGAAACGAGGCACCCAATAGCCCAGACTACGGCAAGGGTCACAAAAAGGCCATACCAAGCTGCAGGCAACAAAAGAACGCATCTATAGACCATTCCATTTAGCGCTCTCTGGGGGGGCACCATTTTGTTCGACCGCGGCGCCCTCTCCACACATCCGGGAAGTTCAGCGGGTTCGGCGGAGTAAAACGAGAGAGAGGGCACGCGCCCGACTCCGCTGGCAGACGACAAACCGGTAGGTTGCCGTTCTTCATCTTTGGGCTGTATCGGCGGGCTGTACGGAACATCGAACTCTCGCTCGTGGCTGCCGTTGTGAAGTGGTTCGCGTTCTTAGAATAGTTGTGGCTACTCCAAAATCAGCCCATAGCTCTCTGTTGTTCTATTTTGCTAAATGATTAACTAGCATATCTTTTTTACGTTACTTAAGTAGCAGTTCAGTCAACCGGCAGTACTACCCTCAACTACTGCTTGTATTGCGGCAGGAGAGCACGTTTTATTTATTATTTCAGGCTTCCACTCATGGTCGCTAAAGGCCTACACCAGTACGAACTTTTGTATAGTAAAAAAGGTACAGCAACCGGATTTACTTTTCGCCAGAGACCGGCCAATCTGACAGTTTTCTTTATTTTTTTTTTTATTTGCACGCAGGTAACAGCGCAATTGGACCCTGTGAGTCTTTTTATCTAGCATAGTATTACACGACAACTGGCATACCAAAATCTGCACATCTGTGCTTGAAAGTTCCAAAATGACGCGATTTTAAACAGGGTTTGCACGCCAGCCGGACGCTAGCTACAGCCAACTCGGCGGAGCGGACGACATACGGGGTGAGAGGGGGAGTGCATTTTTTTCTCTTTTACCCTCTCTGCTATGACCCTAACGAAACGGTCTATAGTGGAGGTTCTTCTCTGTCCTACGCGTTTTCCGGACGCTCCTCACTGTCAGCGATATCTAGCAGCCGCTGGCTTTCCACAGCATTCACTGGACGGTAGCGGAGGTTTTCCCTCCGTTTGAGGTCCGCCTTTGAACGATTTTTCTTTTGCCGGAAGAATACATCCTCAGCTATCGTTTATGGCCAAAACTTTGGAGCGTGCTTTTGACTCAAGGCAAGGCGTAGCCGCTCACACTCTCTACTGGCTGTCACTTCCCAACCTTGCGAAGAAAAGAAAGGGGAGATTACAGCACGGAGGCGAGGAAAAAACCGTGCTTTTTGCGTGGTTGCTGTCGTCACTAAAAGCGTACTCGTGTGCCAAAACGTTTACGTTCCTTTAGAGTCCTGCACACTTATTTGCCGTGCACAGCAAAAAGCCTGTCCTATTTAGGCACTCTTTCACAAAACAATGCACTTTCCGCTAAAAGGGAAGGTGAAGAGATTCTTTAATAAGAAACATTAGAGCTGGATTCTAGAGTATTTTTATCCCGTCAATCTGTACATCACGTTCGCTTCCCGGAAGATGTAACAAAACGAGAGAAAATACAAAAAAAAAACCTCTGGGCAGCCGTTACGTCACACCCAGATGTCTCGGCCGCCAAGCGCGTGTCCCACGTGTGGGCAGCGCGTGCAATTGCAACCTTGCCAGGTATATTCGCCGCGCACGCCACTAGTTGTGACGTCTTTTTTTTTTACCTTTTTGAAAAGTGAAAGTGTGCGCGTGTGTAGCTTTGCTAGGCACGCTGAAGGTGCGCGAAAGGGGAGATTCCGAAAACTCTCGATATGGCGTTGCGCTGGGGGAAGGAGGGGCATCAGAGATACCTTAAAATTATGTTATATAACTTCTGTGCACCAGCTTAAAAGAAAAAAAAGAATAATAGTGTCGATATTTGTTATTTTCAGGGCCAAATCCAAATTTGTGAGCGTTTTATTTTTCAAATACAAAACCAATTCGCCTTCCCTTTAAACAAAAAGCGCGCTCGCGGTGTTGTTACCACACATTTCAAAAGAGCAAGGCGGTTTTGCTGATTGGCTACGTCATCTTTATGCAGTGAGCCTCTGTCACAGATAGGGGACAAGTGCTACGTTAGCATTCGGCTAAATGTCGCGTTCAATTGGTGAGAACACTTGCCCCAACCGGAAGCTGACGCGGAACTCGTGCTCAAACTCCTCCACGCGCTCTGCTTCCTCTAGCTCCTGCTATGCAGTACTGGTAGTTCGGACAGACCGCCGTTCGGGAATGAAATCCTACGAATGAGAACTGCTATTTTATTGCGAAAGCATGAACTGTCCCGTGGAGCGAACCGGCGTTATCAGCTTTTGAAGCCGCGCCAAACGGCACCTAAATTCCGCTGTCCGAGGGAGCGAAGCCTGTAGTTTGTAGCAGCGAATTGATGGATCAACTCCCATTGGCTGGAGCGCGGCATAGTTCCAGGGAACACCACGCCACTGCCATGGCGCAGAGGCCAGGCCGTCGGTAAGAGGTAGAGAGTGGTCAGGCTCTGCAATGTGGCCGGCAGCAATGTCCGCCCGGGCGGCATCCGCAGAGGTTGCACGGCCGCACTCTTAAAAAAAAAAAAAGGGAATCGATAGCCCTCCCTAAGGGTAGGAGCGGTCTTGTAACCCATGTTCCTTTAGAAAGGGAGAAACTTTCGTCCCTGAAGCAGGAAGCAAAGTTCCTCCGTCGCCTGCATCTCATTATGGCGGCCCCGGATCGAGCAAGTCGAGATCAATAAGGCTTAACGAGGACGCTACGTCTTTTCTACAGGACTAGAGAAGCAGCAAATAAAAGCGTAACACAAGCTTTCCGCGAACTGTGTTCATTTCTGAAGCCAGGTTCCCCCCGTAGGTACAGAAGTTTGCGTTTCAAAAGCAGTTACTTAGTCTTCTCGTCGTCACCACTGCGATGTTAAACGGAGGCAGCCGATACCCAGTTACTTTGCGCACTTTGCGTCTTACCTTTTCTGTTCCTCAAATCACAATTCTTTCGTCGACCGCACATCACGAAGGAATGGCAAACCAAACCACAAAACCAAAAGCCGCTCTCAAAGAAACAAACTCGAAGCTGCCGTTTATCGCGTAGAGTGAAAGAAGGTTAAATCGCTTGGCCACCAGACGGCAGGGTCAAGCAGTAGCTAGGCTAGGTGGAGCTAGCTTCCGTCCAATTGATGTTCTACAAAAACATTTTCATCATGCCACCATTGCGCTTCGGGATCTTCGCGAACCTCTAATATACACACATTTAGGCACATTACGCATACTTCAAGCATCAGCTGAACTTACATTGAGCGTATACGCATACATGGCACATACAAACATCAGTACAACGGCACGCTAACCCGATCACTACACCCGAGCTCTGCGTTTCTGTCGTTTATACTGGTCGTTTTGTACGTACGGAATTTCTTGGTGACTGCCTACGTAATAAAAAATATTCGCAGCATGTTGATTTTTTTCAGCAATGTCATACCTCTGAGAGTATTTTGAATGGCTCAGGGGATGAATTTCTTAATAACTTGAAAACACTCGATCATGCCGTAATTATTTGAAAGCCAATAAATGAAGGCTCACCAAAGCGGTTACAAGCCATGAGTTTGTTTCCCCGCACGGCACGTCGCAGTCAGTCTTTCAATTGTTTTTCTATTTGTGCTGTACGCGCACGGCTGCAATTACCGTCTTGAATTAATCTCTGTTCAGCTGATATTCACTCAGCTGGAAGTGATGCTTCACGGGCAGAGAAATCGCTTTTCAATCAACTTGAATGCAGTCAAAGCCGCGACTTGCGGCAGGTGTTAAGTGTACGGAGGTACCCCGTGGCGAGCTCGATAACGTCTAGCGCTCATCCCAGCGTGCCACTTGGAAGGCAGTTTCTCCAGAAACCATAGTGTATTTAAAAAGCAAAATAAAGGATAGTTTTCTTTTTCGATTTTACCTATTATTCTTTTTTAATGCTAAACTTCCATACTGTAAATATACGTACTTTCCGCCATATTTTTATACTGTTCAGTCCTTCCCTCAGAGGGCAATCGCTCTCGGGCAGGAAACAACCGACAGACACATTGGAGCTTACAGTTCAGACCAGCGTTCCAACATGACTATCCGCACGTCGATCGACTGCACCTAATCCCTCAAGTGGTCTAAAACCCTTTAGGTAAAGCGGAATGTCTATCTGCGACACCCCGCCCCCTTCGATCACGGCCTGACCAGCGGCATCAATGCCCGACAGTTTACGTCATCTCATCTTGTTGTTATGCCACTGATAAGCGAAGACACGGTCACATCGGCGATAATTCCAGCCTTCTGTTCACAACCCACAACACTGCCATCACGATGTTGCTGCTATGTTGCTGACACGCAGCAATACAGAACCACGTTGATTGCCGGTTGGCACTCGGTATCGGAAAACCGAACCGAACTCAGCACGGAAGGCACCCGGCAGCAAAACCTGCCTGTCTTGAACGAAGTTTCTGCGGTTTCCATAACGTCGAAAACGTCGACGCAGTTTTGCGTGGTTGCGCTACCGTAGTTCCGCTATCGTAGTTCCGCGCGGGTCCCGCAATCCGCAGAGCACCTTCTTACCCAGTGTACGTAGCGCTGCTGGCACTGCACCCGAACTTAGCTGTTCCTAACGGCTTGGTTTGCGCGTTTGATAAAATTAGTGGTAAAAACTTCAATGCAACAAAAATGTTTTGCACGCTTGGACTTGTGAAGATCTGGCTGCCCTCCCCCGCGCCGAACCTCCGGACCCCAATTTCCGGCAACTCGCACTCGATACCTCCGACATGCGTCATGCCTCGGGGGACCGGCCATGGCCTCGCGCCGCACAAGGTCCGGCTGGACCACTCCCCTAAGCCGTCTGACATCACGGGACTGGCTTCCCAGAAGAAAGGACCCAAGGCATGAAAAGGGGAAGCCGGACAAAAGAAGGCCTCTCTTGGACGGAGCGCTCTCGAACGGCGGGGCACGGAGACAGGTGCAGCGGTGACAGGAGACGGAGACGCTGGCGCGGGATTTGGCGGGAGACGGACGCAGGCGCTGGGAAAGTGCGGGCACTACGTCGAGGGGCGGACTCGACAAACGGACCGGACAGCGACCCTGGACGACGACGTCCCCATGACGCGGTTTGGACGA